TGTCTTAAATACATTAAGTAAAAGTTTTCCAAATTAAATTTTGCATATAAAAATTTTATTTGTGAAACACATATTAAATTTATTATTAAAAAAAAATAAAAAAAGGATGTTACAAATAAGATATGTAACAGGCTGTTACAAATACATTTTTTCTTAGAAATAAATATACTATGAATTGTATAAAATACCTGTAGCTTCACAAGATATAAGTAACAAAACTGAGTCAAAGTGTTTAATATGTGTTAATAACAAAGCTTTTAAAATTTTTTTTAGAATTTTTTTTTTATAATCATAACGTGATAATAAATAAATAAATAATTGTGAAATGTAACACAAATCAAGAGGTGAATTTCACCTAAGGTGATTAAAATTAAAAAATAACCTAGGGTGAATTTTAAATTAATTCAAAAAATAAATAAATAAATTTCCGATTATGAGAACCGAAAAAAAGGTACTTAACTAGGAAAACGGAAACCGTTGAGAGTCCTTAATGCACTTAATAGTAACAATAATTTATAAATGGTTGACAAAACAAAATGTGTTGCTAAAAATAAAGCGTTACAAAAAATGTGATACAAAACATAAAGCAGGGGCTAAATTATAGTGATGTAGGTGGAAGGAAAAATACATGGGTTAAACTGGTACTACAGTTACATACAATAAATAGTCCTTCACTACGCTCCGTCCAATAAAAATAAATTTCCCAGTTATAAGAATTAAAATAAATTCCTGATTTATAATTAATACTTTATACTTATATTAAAGTATTACTTTATGCTGTATTAGTTATATAAAGTGTCCTGCATAAATTTTATAGAGTGATTTACATGCAAGAAAAATATAGACGCCATATTCAGTCAAAATAATGCAACCAAGGCAATTTTAACTATATGCAGTCCATTATTTTCGGTTGAAAACAAAAATTCCACCTGTTGTACTTTAGCTAGTGAAATATGATTTGATTAATAAGACAAATTTACAGAATGTACGGAATATATTGGGTGCAGGCATGTCACGGTACAGCACGTTTGTAAAAAAAAAGTAAGATTAGTATTAAAAATGATAAAAAGTAAACAATAAAAATAATAAAAACCTAACTTACCACAAGAGAGACTGAAAACCAAGACAGTAATTAATAATATCTAATCTAACATCATACAACTTTTTTGTTATATGGTGCAAGTAAACTATACTCAACAATAAAATTGTAGTACTAAAAAATCTTATAAAATTTTAAAAAATATTCTTCAAGACAAATACTATCAAATTACTGGTCAGATATTTGAAAAAAGATCTGTATAAAAAGTTATAAACGTTTAAAACTAACCAATTTTTATATGATCAGCCTAAATTTGAAACAAATTGAATCACATATGCCCTATCTTATTGGTCAAAAATTTTTATAATTCAGGCCGAAATTATGATATTTCAATGCTGGCCCGAATTATCACATTCATTTGATGAGAAAATTCCTTTAACAATGAGAAAACCTTCTGATTTATGAGAAAATCATCACACGTTTACTGATGCCATGTAAAACAAAATGACAACAACAAGTTAGTAAGATACCTAGGAAAAAAGGTTGTTATATATTACAATACCATGTAATTTAAATATGAAGAGTTTCAATGAATAAATTTTTCGTTTTGACATAGATAAAATATTATGTACGAAACAGTGTAATATATAAAAATTCTCGTTTTTTATTGGACAAGGTCTGATCACGTGATATGAAAACTTGCGCCAGAAAATTGAAACATCATCACGTGATTGTCGAGTATAGTTTGCACCATAAAGATAACCTCTTACGTTATAAACAATGATGAACAAGCAGATGCTAACTAGCAAATCATTAGTTTCAGTTACTGTACACAAAGTGGCGTAAATAAACATTAACTTTAAAACAAACAAATGTGTTGTACCACGTTGTGGTAAGCAAAAAATTATATTCCATGAAATTTTTCTTTATAAAAATGGCCCAAAATTTTCTTCCACCCAAAAAAAATCGGGTCAACTTGTCTAAAACTTATTAATAATAATATTAATTCTCAAATTTTAACTATGAATCAAAATACTTTACAAAATAATCAAAATAATCTCACTTTTACTGAATTCAGTAATTTGCAATCTACTGTTATTCAACCGGAACATTCTTCTTCAAATAATAATAATAATATGAACGTCAACCCTTCCGATAATATTTTCCCAACATTTCATACAAACAACAATTTTTCTGGTCAACAACCCATTTCTAATGAAAATAACGCTCCGATTGTCCCGCAGTACTATGTTGGTCCGCAGCAACCTATTGTGAACACTTCTCCACTTAATTCATTTAACATGGCTAGTATTAACCCAACTCAATCTGAAATCCTTAGTTTTGACATCCCAGGATTCAAAATTATCGTCATACCTACTTTTTCTCAACAGAATAATACTCATTTGAATTATCCTTCTTCAGATATCACAAATACGCAATTTACTCAATTTCAACGATAAATTTCTGAATTATAATTACATAGCATATAACCAACTTTTATTTCTTAATCCTTTTTATTTCTTTTATTACTTTTATTTTTTATTAGCTTTATCAGTATCTTTTATTTACATTGTATTTCTTTATATTGTATAACTGTTATGTCATTTTAAATAAAAATTATATTTATCCTTTCAAACGAAATAAACCTTGACCCAAATAATTTTAATCACATATGGCATAAATTAATGCTATATCTCTTCTTATTTTATAAATTTATATGGCACATTTTGGAATTTATTATTTTGAGAATTACTGCGGTTTGTCATTTGTCATGTGATTAACTGATCTTGATGAGATCACGTGTAGTCGTGTATATCACATGATAGACAAGGTGAGCTAATTGTCACTCATTAATCCCCTGCTTTGATCGATGCCCCCTGCAATATTTATAATATGCACCAATCGAAAATTTATTATTTTACTAACTTTAATAACTTCAATAGCACTATAAAAAAAAATTTTTTTTACAATATTTAATAAAATATTATTAGTATCAGCCAGACAATCGCGACTAGTACAAATATATAATTTAGGATGAATAAATCTTAAATGTTTCTAGTCGTACTACTCGTGTAAAGACGTTTGAAAAAACATTTGCTTCTTGATATTTCTTTAATTCGTTCTAGCAAATATTTTTTGTTTAGCGTTTAAATTTTCTTAAATTGAATTACTGTTAATCCTTCTCCAGTTAAATATAATAGATTTCAACAAAATTCTCACAATTTAAATTTTAACTATTAATTTTATTGAATTTTTTTTTTTAAAAAAAAAAACCATGTTGCACTTTACTGCGCTTCTGAATAACAACGGAATCGTAATTTAAAGCGTTACATATATTTTACAATTTAATAACCCATAAATCTTTTTTCAATTTCTTTAAGTTTTTTATTTCAATTCTTATCGGGATTCCAATCCACCGCATTGCTGTTAAACATGGTACGATTTATGAGTTAATTCTGGGATAGTGATTTTGTTTTAAAAAAAAAAAATTTTTTTTTAAATATAAAAGCTGCTCTTCTGTGAAATCTTTAAATTTTACGTTACGAGAATCTAAAATTTATTTGCCCGGTATAATTTATAAAATATTCATTACTTATTAATCAAAATTTATTTGCATATTTGATATCAGGATAATATTAAATATATGAACTGTATTTAATTTTATAAAAAAAATCATGTATAGAATTATATCACCTTTATATTTGTAAAAAAAAAAATAATAATGATCGTTTTATCAAATCTACCTAATAGTGATCGATAAAACATTTTAGAAAACTTTCTAACATCGAAAATTTATGAACAACTAAAAACATAGTTTCTAATCTTTCAATCCTCCTATCATTTTCTTTCATATCCAATAATTGACCACCTTTTTCTCCAAATATTTTTATAACTTCATTACGAAAATGAACTCTCAAACCTTGATTTTCTTGATTTCTTTGCAACTCCTTATCACTAATAAATTCAAAAGGTTCATATTCTATTTCTTGAATCCAAATTGGATAATCACATAATTCCCATAAAGTTCCAGTATGTGAAAATTCCCAATCGATAATACCTATAATTTTAATATCGTTATCAACAGAAGAACGTTCAACAAGTATATTTTGCGCATCAAAATCATTATGAATGAGAGTGAAAGGAAGTAAATCTATTGATTCAAAAGGATTATTCTCTGATAACTTGGATTGAAGTAAAGCCAATTGCTTTACTAGTTTTTTTGTTCTCTCTTCTGCATCAGCTAAAATTGTATTCATTTCATTATTAAGATTTTGTACACCATGAGTTTCAAAGAAACTCTTTTCCTTTTGAATTAAAGCATCAAACCATTCTCGTGAACTTTTAAAAGGACCAGTAAAACTAGGGATAATGTCTCTTCCTTCAATATAACATAAGGGACTCACAATGGGCCCAACTTGGAAAGACATATATGGAGTTAAAACACGGCTAAATGAGAAGTTTATTAGAACCATTGAATAACCTTTAAAGATGTTAAATACAAAATCAAACAAACCTTAATAAATATGATGATTTTTCTCGTATGGGTTCGGATTGATCATTATTTATATAAAGACAACCAATTTCATTAAATTGACATTTGGTCCATATCTCAAATAATATATTGATTATTTGGTTTAAAACACACTTTTTATTTTCAATCGACAAATCATCCCAAATTCGATATAAATGTTGACCAGATAAACGTTCCATAAAGATGTATGGAGATTTTATAATATTATGTGTAGTACAATCCCAATCATATACTTCCGGCACTTTGATTTTTGTATTTTGAGCGATATACTTCATAGTTGCGACTTCACAAGCTAATTTTGCTACAGGATGAGTTGAATCACGCGGAAGTCTGGCAATGCAATCTGGTCCATTATCAAATTGTAACAAATGAATTTCATTATTAAACCCTCTTGTTAATCTGCAAGTTTTAACACAATGTCTATCTAAACGACTAGAAGCTAACTGTTTCAACATGTCGAAATCCAAGTCTAACGTAGGTTCATCAGAATCTTCAGATTCACTGAATATTTCTAATTTGCTATCCATTATTTTGTATATATTAATTTTGTATCAATGTGTTAAAAATTATTAAAAAGTTTAGTAAAAAATTGAAGAGTTTACGTCCGATTTATCAAAAATTTAATGGTTTAAATCAAACAATCTTTGTAAATAGCGATATGAAATGAAGTAAGTTCATTGGTTTTAATAAAAATAAAATAAATTAAAATAAAAATAGGGGTTTATGTCTTTAAATCAATCAATATTTATTAATATTGATATATGTAAGTAAAATAATAATAAAAAATCATCTCCTTATTTAAGTGATTGCCGATTGATTTATAATGATGTAGAATGATGTAAGGTCACAAGTAAATTTAACATATTTTATTGTATTTATAAACGTAAAAAAAAAAAAGCCAAAAGTTGGTTCAAAAAAAAAACATCATTTTTGCCACCATTGTAAAAGCATCTCCAAAAGTACTTCTGTTGCGCAGCACTGCAATGGATATGTGATAGAACATGATGGGTATGTTCAGTTATCTCGAATATTTACTACTAACTAAAACTAACATCTTTATTATTTTTTGTGTACGTAGCGAGCCATTAACCCAATTATAAGGGCGAGCTTTGTTATAAATGTGGCGTAAAAGGCCCTTGTTCGGTATGTGGAACTAATGAACATCCATATCAAGAAAAGGTATGTAACCCTTCAAAATATGTCGAGAGTGTTTGTATGGCGTGTATAATGGTTGTTTCATATCATTTTTTTTTTCTTTTTTTTAGAAAAAAAGCAAAATATAATATAATAAATTGAAATAATAAATATTTAATAATTTTATTAATATAATTCTCAAGCAATTTTGTCAATTTTAAATTTTTTTTAACGAAAAAAAAAATTGTATTATTTTTTTTAAAAAAAAATTTAAATGATTTTACATAGTAAATTTAACAGATCGTTTTTTTTTATTTCTGAAAATTATATTAAAAGATAATATTATTATTGCTTCAAAAAAACTCAAAGTTGGTTGCGTCATTAGCCGATTGCGCCATTAGCCGATAACTTGTTATTAAATACGGCAAATCGAACTCTAAATGTCCGGAATTCCTGTCTGGTGATAAGCCCTTTAACAAAAAAAGCCGAAAATAAAATAATTAAAACATGGTTAGCAGACCCAAAAAAACATTAACGAAATTTATCTTACCATTTAGGAAATCCATATTGATACTGCATTGTTAGTCCTGAATAAGAATAAAGTATTATGACCATTACGGCAATTTTGCGTTGTTGTATCATTAAATTCTCTGGTATTCCATTGAACGAAAGAGTCGTAGGAACTAAAAATGGAATCAATTACAAACGAGATGACGTTGATGTTGCTGCTGTTGATGTTGCTCTCACGAACGGTGTGAACTTGAAGGATAAAATTCATGTTGTTGATATCCGTTGTAATAATCTTGCGTCAGTGGATAGGGATCTTTTTTGTCGGAACTTTGATTTTTACTATATTTTCGTTTTTAATATATCAGTTGTAGCTTGTTAATGTTTACTTACACATATTGCTTCTAATGGCGAGTTTCCCTACTTTTGTCCTTTTAAATTAAAAGAGTTGACAATTTGTTTTAGATTCCGCTTATTCATTATTTTTTAGTTTTTTTTTTAAGTTGTAAAAAGAGAACTGATTTAGTCAGTATTTGTAAGTTACTTTTATACTAAAATTATATTGTTTCTTCCCCTTGTTATGACATAACCGACATAACTATATTATCAAAAAAAAGTTAATTATTATTCTCCCAATCGACCATCATTTTTAAAAAGTACATTCACTTACAATATTGGATAGTGTAATCAATGGCGTATTTTTGCATCAGTTAAAATTTTTTTCTTGCATTAGTTAAAATTTTTAAGTTATTGTTATCATTTTATTTATTTTTATACATATTATACTCAAATTTTTAATTTGATTATTAGACAAATAGGAATTTAAGGGGAAGGAGGTTAAACAACATATGATATTCTGATAAAAAATTTAAATAATAAAATAATTAATAAATTTGTATCACTAACTTTCTTTTCAACAGTACTTTTCAACAACTCTTTTTCGATAAAACATGTTTAAAAAGCAAGAAAATTTAGTAAAAATCTATTTTCAATAATTAATATCATATAGGTACTTTAATGAAATACTCACTGAAAGGGGAACTGCCAAAAAGATTTCACAACTAGAGGTTCCTCATTATATCCATATTGATGAATTCACAATATATCTTAATAGATAAGGAGCTCCTTAATGTGGCTAAAGATTTCTTCTCTTTCCCAATTGATATTAGTGGATACGCGGCCATTGGGCATCTCAAAATAATCATAAAGAATGCGAAAAAAAATACCTTTGGTAGTATTAACGCAGACAAACTGATTTCCGAGACATTTCAAGCTCAAAAGTACGTTATGTTGCTGTGTACTTGAATAAAATTTTAATCATTTCTAAATATTCCATTGAAGAAACCGTTAATTTGGATGCGGCTAGCACTAGTAATAAAACATACAGTATATAAAACAAATTTCAAATACTGTTGAAATTATTGGTGGTTATAATATTAGTCATTTCGTTACTTTCAATCTTAACAACCAACATAGAGATCAAAATAGTCAATGTATTTTCCACTCTAATGATGTTCAAGAATTTTCATTAGTGATGGTCTTTTAAATAGTAATCTTATTTCAAATGGCTTTCACTCTTTATAAGGTAGCCTTGTAAAACAACTAGTAACCCAGTACCAATTGGGAGAGTCTATGTTGTTATAAATCTGAATTTTGGAAGGTACATTTGTATGAAAGTCATGATCACCATACTTTATATTTGGGTATTAGATGTCATATAAATATGATTAATACTTTGAATTATGGTAGTATTAAAAGAAGTAATGATGATTGGTATGTGAGTGAATTTATTAGGTATTGTAGAGATGGTGCCATAAGAGGTTTTTTTACTTTTTTCATGTCGATTAATTATCAACATTGATCATCTTGCGTAAATGCTAAAATCAAGGAAGAGAAAGGGAACATGCTTTATAAATGATATGCCTTTTATGATTTTTTATGTCAAATTAGTGAATTGATTTTTAATTTTTATTATTACAGTAACAAGGAAAATGTTATTTTTAACTTTGCAAATTAGTAAAATTGAAATTTAATTAATAAATCACCAATTACTTTATACAGTATAACCTAAATACCTATTTCTTGAATGAATGATACTACTTGTGTAGGAATCATACGTGGAACCCTAACTGAAAGATTCAACGATCTATGCTTTTTATGGTTCACATATAGGATAATTATTATTGTCGAAAATTGTTTGATTCTTCTGTGATACGTTCTACAGAAGATTTCCATAACGCAATTTTAAACTTCTATGAAAATTAATTAATTTAAATATATTTAATCATTATTTTTTTTTTCTTACATATAGGAAATGACTTATTGAATTACTGTTTCTTTTTAAAGAGGAAAATTAATATTTTTAATTAATTTTTTTAAACAAATATTTGTTTTCGTTTTATTGAATTAGTAGTCTTTGAAAGACCTTCTTTTTAATTCTGCTTAAAGGAAACCTAAATCTAGCTTTCTTTGGTAAGTTCAATTTTAGGGGAAATTCTCTTTAAATCTTTTTTCAGCAAGTAAACTACTTCAAATCTGATGATTTTTTTTTTAAGAAAAGTAAACCTCTTTAATTTTGTAAATTAAATTTATATTTAGGCTTATTATTTTCTCAATAGTAATACTGTGAATTTAAACAAATGAATAGCTATTAAATAAATGCAATTATAATTTGATTGCATATCGGCGGATTTGATTACTTTTCGTTAAATGCTAAATCTGAAAGATTTTCATAATTTCCGTTGTCCAAAATTGTGTTTGTAATACCAAAATCACCCGATAGACTATCATTTGACTAATGAGTAAAAAATCGAAACTTAAATAAAGTAAAACCCATTCCTTATCTTACCTGCATAGTAATTTTAGGGTGTATTATTAGAAAGTAAGCATGCTTTAATAAAACAAAATGTAAAATAGAAAATTTATATAGTCACAATAGGCTATGAATATTTTAAAAGTATTTTAAAACTCAATGAATATTGTTTAAAAAATTTTTTTTATGATAATTTTTATAAAATTGTCAATTTTTTATATTTTTCAAGTCATATAACTAATTCACATTTATTTTATTGTTACACATTATAGGAACTTTACACTCAAATAAACTGATTGTAAAACATATATACTTTCAATTTTACCAAAAAAAATTCCAGAAATTATTGTGCAAAGTGAGATCCCATGACGGATATTATCAATATTATCAGAATCATATTTATTAAAACCAAAATAAAAATTTTTTTAATGTATTTTATTACGCCTTATGTAATGCTTTGTGTAACAAAAATATCAAAAAATTAACATGTAATCAAATCCGCCGATATAAAAATGATTCAATACATTGTGCGATCAAATATTTCAAGATAACAGATAACAAAAATCAAAAAAAAGTTCAAATTGGGGGATAGTAATATAAAAATAGTATGTATATCTGGAAACCAGCTTTGCCGAGTCCTGCGATAAGACCAGCTTTTATGGCTTTTATGCTGCAAGAAACGGATCTCCGGATGGGGATTTTCATTTTTTGTACGTATTTTGGCGCTTTCTTATTTTGATTGTGTTACTGTTTGCCTAAAACCTGATAAATTAAGGAATAAGGAGACATATATTTATCACGTGAAATATAGTCAACAACTTATTTTGGTTAGAATTTGTTTGTTTAGAATCTCTGTTACATCTAACCAAGTATTGGTTATAGATAAAGTCGAATTGTATAATTTGCGCACGTTGAGTACTGTATTTTTCCTTTCTACTACAAAATGGTCCAAAATTTCTTCCACCAAAAAAAAAAAAAAATCTGTTCAATTATTTTATA